GTACCTCTTCAAATTTTATAATTTCATAACCCTTGGTCATGGGTTCTTGTGTTAGGGCAGGACTGTGTTGAATATGTAGTGAAAATTCATTATTTCTTTGAAAATCTTCTCTGCTCTTGGGCATATCGGAAGCAAACAGTTTAATAGTTTTAATAAGCAAGGGTACTTTTACCAGATTTTTTTTTAACATTTGGTCCTGACCAGGGTTCTATTAATTTGTATTCTACTGAGAGGAGTTATTCCCATTTGCCATTCACTTTTGATAATTAATCACTGTAAATTATGCATTTGAAAGGTTAATAGAATTAGTCAATTATGCAAGAATTTTTATTGGATAATACACAAAGTACTTCTAAGGTTTGAATGATCAGGTAGACTTGTATATAATAGATAAATAAAAATGATACAAAAATAACAATAATTTTTCTTCAAAGAGCAAGAAAGGCCAATGTGAGAGGTTATGATATGGGTTAAAAATAGTACAGAAGCATTAATAGTTTGTTAATAGTCTGCATGGTGATAGTGATAAATGGGGGACAGATTAGAGCTTAATTTATAAGTTGTTACTGAATACTGGACTAATTATTTTGTTGATCCTGATAATCCTATTTCTCTTGCTTTTAGGCAACATAGCTTCATCTATCAATTTGTTTTATACTCTAATAAATTGTTGCATTATACTCAGGTGACCGTTAAGGCCCTTGAGCCTCTTGTTTAAAATATAGTCGTTTAATGAATCTCCCCCATCTCCCCTAGAAATTTCAAACACTTGCATTCCAGTAATTTTCAAACGATTGCAGTGTTTGATCTCTTTATCAAAAGGCTTATTGAATCCACACAACAGTTTTAATATGCTTTAAGTGCCATCAACATCAAGTACATATCACGAAGTTGTTATCGTCCAAATTTTCGACTGATCACTTCTTTTTACGTCAATTTGTATTCTTTTAGATTCTTTTTGAGCTGTCCTTCAACAAAAAATAAAAACAATTCAGTTTTTATTCATATAGTAGTATTTATTTATTATTACACGAATTAATATTATTATTATTGCCCCAGTTAACTTTGGATAAAGCAAATCCAAAAATTTCCATGACAATCCTAATTGAATAAAGGTTGCTGAAAAGAATGAAAATATAAAAGAACAAATGGTTCAAACATTATTTGAATCGGGGCTGAAAAGTTTAAAATATTGTTAATACTCCATTATAGGTCATAAAAGCTAATATAAAATAAACTAATTTATAAATAATGTGGGTTTTACTTCTCCTTTCCACTTTCTTTGCTTGTAGAAAATTAGACTTTTCTAACAAAAGTTGTTTTAAAGGAAATACATTTACAATTATAATTCATGAATATTTGTATATGTAAGTTGAGCATCATAAACTTTTTTTGTTACAATGCATCATTATTATGAACAGAAAGATTGGCTGCACACTGCATATCGTGTGTTTGTTTAAAGATTTGAAGAACAACTCATGTGAAATATTTCGGCTAAATGCAAAAATGATTCTGTGCTTTATAGTAGCCCCCAGTACCCTTACCAGCTGCTTTGTCCTCCCGTTCTGAAATTTCTGGATACTCCACTGCAAACAGATGTCAACTCATTAATACTATGATACAAAATGTATTTCTTTGATACTAGTACATGAAATACATGTACAAGATATGTACATTTCTCATAATAAGTGACGCCGGAAAAACAAATGTTAATAATGAATTCATATGGAATGTGGGCGTCTATAAGCTTGAACATATATTTATTTCCCTACAATTCTTTTTCAAATATAGTAAACAGCAAAATACTGAAAAAAAAGGAACAAATTTCATAAAAATAATTCCATTAATTAGCCGACACAATTGTTGCCTGTAGTATTATTTGATTTAGTTGTTGATAGATTCAACAGAAAGAGACTTATACTAGTTTCAAAAACTGCCACCACTGCTGAATTGATAAAACATTTACAAAGTAAATTCGGCTTATATGCAAACTAAATACTCTTAATTTGCAAACACGTCTAAATGACTTCTAAATCATTTCCTCACAGTATACTGATTTTGACTTAAGCTTACGATTTCCATGATCGGATCATCCTGGGGCCGGGAGGAATTTTGGTTATATTCGATATGCTTTCTTCAATCATATATTCAACAGCTGTTTATACTAGATATTGTATAAAAAAAATTAACAAAGGAAATGTTTACTTATTCTTTATATATCATTTTCAGCATTCTATCACAGGATGATGCTATTCGATGGTTTGGCAGACCGACGTAAGTAAATCCATTAACACGATTCAGCTCCCCAAGCTTTTTTCTCTTTAAGCATCGTCGTTGTCGTCGCTTCTCATATTTTTTATCTTCTTCTCCGAAACCACTGGGCCAGTTCTAATCAAACTTGGCACATAGAATTCTTTAGTAAAGAGGATTGAGATTTGTATATAAAAAAAAGAGGGGGTCATACATTCTTCCAAAGGGAAATGATTTGAAAAAGGAAATGTAACAGTAGTATGGGTTTAGTAGGGTATTATTATTATTATCAGTTTCAAGATCCACTTGACCAGGAAAAAAATGAAAATCATGCAAATGCTTTCTGACATAATATGTTAATTAAGAATTGGTCATAATTGACCTTTGTGAATAGAGCGTAACCACAGGAGAGGATCAAAGTTTACATGGTTGTATTCAACTGGAAACAATCTTTAAATTTTTTTTCAAGAACAGCAATATATAGAAATTATATGAAGAAATTTTTAAAACATTTTTTTTCTCAAGAACAACATGGCTATAATTAATCATATTAATATGCAAGAATCCATAGATAGTGCAGATTTAAGTTTTTTCAAATTATGGCTGCGGGAGAAAAGGTAGAAAAACTAGGGATGGGAGGTTTACAATGTAATATATAGGGGAAAAAAATTAAAAATACTTTCAAGAACAGTTTGAGAATTAATACTAGTATTCTTTTTTTTTAAATATGCAAACATCCTCAGATAGCGGCGATCAAGTTCATATCCTGTCTCTAGAGTAGTAGCAGGGACACAAAAGGGGATTGAAGTTTTACATGAGAAATAGTGGATAGGGATCTGTTAAATCATATTATAATTATTTAGGATCTCCAAATAGTGCTTTAAATTTTTCAAACTTAGACCACGGAGTGGACCATAAGGGAACAAATAGGCACATGGAATACTCAGGGGGAAAATATACAAAAAGACCAATGCACTGCTCGAAACAGAATTGCAACAAATATTATATCAATGTGCAAGCATTGCAATATAGCGCAGATTATTGCTGTTCAAATCATGGTCTATGAGATTTGGAAGGGGCTAAATAAAGTTCAAATTTTATATGGGGATATGAAGGAGATTTAAAAAAGAACTGGACAATAGCAGGGCGATTGTGAATGATATTGCAAAATCGAGGATCAAATTTTACATAATGCAAGAATGTAGGAAAACAATCTTTAAAGAATCTCTTCTCTAGAACAACAGAGCCACGTTGGTCTTATCGATATTCAGAATCCCCACGTACTTTGAATTGAAGTTCATTTTAATAACAGCACCTAGGGTCTAAGGTGGGCCAAAATATGATTAATGTGAAAATATATATGTATGTGTATTGTTATTTTTCTTTTTCATTAATACACTGTATATTGTTTTTTTTATCTATTGCAGAAGGCCGCTAGTATACTCAAGGAAATACCTATAAGGAATTTGAATCCATCATTATTGATCACCCAACAAACCTCTCATCATTCCTTTGTACATGTGCAACAACATGCTTAAATTACTATGTTTCAATAAACAAGTTCAATACACTGCATAATTTCTTAATAGTTCATTGTTTTTAGGGAAAAAATGTTTACAAGTAAATGAAACAGAGAGGAAATTTATTTCTTAAAGATAAGTAAAAACGCCTTCGAGATGTCTTAATTATCACAATTTCTACCCACGAAAGAACTAATATTGACAAGAAGTATTGAATTTGACGAATTAGAAGAATTACTGTGTGGGAGCGAAGAAATAAAGTGAAGTCAAAATATAGCATTTTAAATCAAAAATGTTTTAATGTTTAACATGCCACATAGTCCATTGATTTGGTGTATTTTAAGTGCAAAAATCGAATTGTTTAGATCAGTGGTGAAAATATTTGAGACATTCAAAATGTTACATGAAATTAATGTAGAATAATTTTTGCTTTATGCTTTATTCAACTAGATACTTCTTATGACCAAGAGATAATGTCGTACACACAACGACAATCAATAATATCATTAGTTTTTAAAAAAGGAGAAAAAAATTATTGAAAAACTATCGTCCAATAAGTCTGACAAACACTGATTATAAAATTATAGCGTTTGTATTTGCCAAAAGATTACAAAAAATATTATCTGGCTTAATTAACGAAAACCAAACTGCGTACATAAAAGGACGATACATCGGCGGAAACGCCAGGTTGGTATTGGATATTTTTGAAGGAGGAATTTTATTATTTTTAGATTTCGAAAAAGCTTCTGATTCTGTTGAATGGAACTTTCTTTTTAGAGTATTAAAAAAATTGAATATGGTTAATAACTTTATTAATTGGACAACCATTCTATATACAAACCCAATTTTTAAAATGAAAACAATGGATGGCTTTCCAAATCGTGTTCAATGACAAGAGGAATTAGACAGGGATGTCCCCTATCTGCACTCCTTTTCCTCTTTGCAGCTGAAATATTGGCAAATAAAATACAAAATGATCATAACATTAACGGTATCTCAATAAATAATCACGAGGTTAAAAATATCCAACACGCAGATGACTTAACGGTAGCATTAAATGACGAATTATCCATGAAGAATACATTAGATGTAGTAAAAGTATTTTGCAAATGTGCTGGTTCTAAAATTAAGGCAGATTAATTTGCCCTTATACCAAATTAATCTCATTTAATTGACGGAAGCACATTACAATGTTGTTAAAACTAATAGTGGAACGAATTGATTATAATCCAAAAGGCAAAAGACTCGTATTGGTACGAGTTGATTAATTGATGGCACTTCCTTTTCCCGCCATCCAGCAACAGGGTGAGGCAGGAGATCCACATCAAAATTATTATCGCAATCATCCGACGGAAGTCAAACCCATTTTACACGCTACCTGGACTCAACTATGCCGCCAGTTAGACAGACGATCACCTCACGCTCCAGAAAGGAGCGCGATCGTAATTTTGTTTCGCCGGGCAGAGGGCGAGGAAGGAGATCCAAGCGGTCCACACACGAGGCGGGACATCCCACCTACACAAGACCACGACTTAGGGGAAACCGGACCAGTACTGCAACATCAACGTCCCCAGCCACAGTAACGGTGGCGGAATCAACCCACGAGGCTTACGAATACGAACCCACAGGACGTCGGGAGGGCCAAGACGAGGAGACGTTGAGCAACATCTCGGGTGAGTGTGACATTTTGCTCCCCACAGTAGATGCCTTAACACACCATACAAACAATAGTGAATTCGGTGGCCCCCCATTTAGCATTGCGGATTACCAACCTGCTCAAACCCCCAGTTCTTTAGATCCCATTAGCGCCCATGTTCCACTAAAAATTAAACAAAAAATTTGGGAGGGAAAATTTGTCGATCTATCCATACTTCTAAAATCGGCGCGGGAAATCTCAGATCACTTAGATACACAAGGCCAAATACAAATACGCAACGGCACAATGTGCCTTGTGAAGCATAAACCCCGCACCTTTTTGTCAATTGAAAAATGGACTTCAGCCTTCATCATCTTCACAAGTATTATGTTAGAAAAATATAGATCTAGAGCCCAAGAATTTTTGAAATATATGAGGGATGTAAGAATGGCAGCAGACAGATCGGGGAATGGTTGGTTCACATATGATGAACAATTTCGGCTTCGCAAAGTGTCAGACCCACACTCGTCCTGGGGAATCATAAACTCTGAACTCTGGTTGATCCATGTCACCAACAATTACACCATGCAGGCCCAAGAAAAGCCCATATCTCCCACACAAAATTTTTTCCCCCAACATAAACAGCCCAATATACCAGCAGCTAAGAAAAATGTAAATTCAGCACCCAATCGTTACTGCTATGATTTTAATTCAGGCAAGTCATGCAAATTCTACCCAAATTGCAGGTTTGTCCACTCGTGCAATTCATGTGGCGGATCACACCCCTCAATCAAATGCAGGAATAGAAATACACGATTCTAACGAGGATATCAACAGTTTAGGAAAAACTCCAATTGATGTCTCCAATTTGTCTACTTATCTACAAGGTTACAGTGCTAAATCTTTTCTCATAAACGGTTTCCTACATGGTTTTCAACTCCAGTACAATGGCCCAAGAATTTACAGGGAATCAAAAAATTTAAAAAGTGCTATAGTAAACCCCAGTATAGTGGAACACAAAATACATAAAGAACTCCTGCTCCAGAGGGTAGGGGGACCATTTGAATACCCACCATTCCCATCCCTTCAAATTTCACCATTAGGACTTGTCCCCAAAAAAGATGGAGATTTTAGACTCATCCATCACCTGTCCTTCCCAGAACATCAATCGATCAATTCCTTTATAGATCCAGCTGCATGTTCAGTACACTACGCATCAGTGGACGACGCAGCAGCCATCATCTCGACACTGGGGGCAGGTACTTTATTGGCTAAATCCGACATAAAATCTGCATTCCGGCTCATTCCTGTGGCCAAAAATGATTTTGATCTATTGGGGTTTAAATTCCAGGGTAAATACTTTTTTGACAAAATGATGCCATTCGGTGCATCCATTAGCTGCGCAATCTGGGAGAAGTTCGCAACTGCATTACATTGGATCATTCAATCTAGCTCACGTAACCCCCATATTCTACACTATTTAGATGATTTTCTCTTCGCGGGACCACCAAATTCTAATCAGTGCCAATCTACCCTCGACCTTTTCAAAAATATCTGTAGCCATATCGGAATACCAATAGCTCTTGACAAAACCACCGAGCCTAGCACAACAATAATTTTTCTAGGAATTGAATTTGACACAATCCACATGGTAATGCTACTTCCGCAAGACAAGTTAGTTTCTCTCCGACAAAGCATTCAAACAGTCATGATAAGTAAAAAGGTCTCCTTAAAGGCCTTACAATCACTGATTGGCTTCCTCAATTTTGCCTGCAAAACAGTAGTACCTGGCAGAGCCTTTTGCAGGCGACTAGTTGATGCCACTATTGGCATCAAAAAATCATATCACATGATAAGAGTTAATCAAGGTATGAAAGCAGACCTTGCAGTATGGCAGCAATTTTTGAAACACTTTAATGGGGTCACAGTCATATGCTCCGGTATTTGGTCATCAGATAACAGTCTACAGCTATTCACAGATAGTGCAGGGGGGTTTAATGGGGGGTTTGGAATCTTTTTTGCTGGCCGCTGGGCTCACTCAAAATGGCCTACCCACTGGGTGTTTTCTGACGTTATTCGTGACATGACATTCTTAGAACTATTTCCAGTATATGTTTCACTCCTGTTATGGCACCCATGGTTATCAAACAAACGCATACTTTTCCACATTGACAACATGGCAGTTGTACAAGTCATTAACACATTGACATCTAAGTCAACAAGGGTAATGAACACTGTCAGAAAACTTGTTCTCCTCACTTTGCAACATAACATTACAATTAAAGCCCAACACATCCCAACAAAACTGAACAAAATAGCTGACAGTATTTCTCGTTCACAGTGGGGAAAGTTTCGCAACCTGGCTCCAGAGGCAGAGATGTGGCCCACACAGCTCCCCAAGCAGATATGGGAAATCTAATTGCTGAGTCCAAACGCCTTATTCATAGCTCCTTGTCACAAAACACCTACAAAGCTTACCGGGCTGCACTGAATAAATTCCAATCATTTTTAAACATTTATGGCTTACAGCAAACCTGGCCCCTGCACAGCAACATATTACTATATTTTATAGCCTACCTATCCATCCAAAAAATGTCAGCCAATTCAGTGTCCCTTTACATTAGTGCATTGTCATACTTCCACAAAATAAACCATCTTCCTGACCCTACCAAGTCCTTCCAAATTAACAAAGCACTTCAAGGCTTAAAGCGCAACAACAGAGTTGTTCCAGACAGCCGCCTCCCAATAACCCTACCAATTTTGGAAAAGCTTGTTATATCACTACAGTCAGTGTGTTGCTCCACTTACGAGGTCAAACTGTTCACATGTGCTTTTTCATTAGCATACTTTGCATTACTTCGCGTAGGGGAATTCACTTTAGTCAACTCAAACACACCGAATTCATCCCATTGCATACAACTCAAACACATTCAAGCACATCCACACAAGCCCTATTTAAGGTTAACCATACCACACTCCAAAACTGACCAGGTGGGTAAGAATACCACCTTTATTATCCATAGCCAGCCACTTGCTACCCTGTGCCCAGTTAAAGCTACCTTGGATTTTATCAAGTGTAGGCCCCATACCCCTGTTAACCACAGTTTTCTAATTCATCTTAATACAAAACCATTGACGAGATACCAATTCAACGCAGTCCTTCAAAAGGCTATTGAAAACATAATACCAACACCAGGCCATTTTGGCACACACAGCTTTCGAATTGGGAGGGCAACAGACCTTGCATTACAGGGCACATCCGATTCTGAAATTCAGAAGTTTGGTAGATGGAAATCAGTAGCTTTTCTTAAATACATAAGGATCATGTAACTTGGTTCACAACAACATTCCCATGCCTACTAGGACTACAGACATCTACCCATCGATGCGGGGGGGGGGGGATATTTGGACATGTGTATAGTCAATTCAAAATCCAAAACTAACCAACCCAAAGCATTGCAGGTCTAAAAGTATGGATCATAGGATCATCCATTCCTTTTTGGGCAGGGGAAGCAGCCAAACACTGCCCAGGGGGACAAAGCCTGAACCTCCCTGCCACACTGCTATGGAGATCACGCAGGGGGATGCACTGGCAGGAATTAGACCCACAAATCCTACAGCTCATCAAGCATGAAGTACCCCCAAATTACTTAGTAATTCATCTAGGATCCAACGATTTGGTAACTCCAAACTTAACTAGCAAAAAATTCATACAAGAGATTCAATGCAGCTTCCTGCGATATAATGCTCTTCTCCCAAATACTAAACTGGTGTGGTCACACATTCTACCACGCCGTTATTGGCATGGAGCTCCATTGAACAGTGGAAAAAAGATAGACAAGAAACGTAAAAGAATTAACAAAAATATCTCAAAATTTGTCGCAGAAATGGGTGGGGGTGTAATTTCACATGCAAACATATCCGCTGCTAATCCGGAATTGTTTAGATTTGATGGTACACACCTCTCTGAGCTTGGCAACAGAACTTTCTTAAATAACATAAAAAGTGGATTGTGGTCCCTCATTCAAGGGAAGGGAAAAGTATCCCTTAATGTAAAGTAATGGAGGAACATCATATCGATGTCTGTGGCGGGTCCGGAGGGATGAGTGGGAGGGTTGCGAACACATCTGGCTCGTTGTTTCCCTGCCCAGCCATCAGACAAGTTGGTGGGCACATTGTTGGGTAGACAGGTTGTCTACAAAGTATCCAACCTATGGCAATGTGTAATAAAAGTCAAGTAAAAAGTCAAGTAAAAAGTTTTCGATTGGGGTCGTAGCCAAGTCTGCAGGCCTGGGGCCCCCTCCACCTCTTGTAACAGGAGGGGAGGCTTAGTGCTGGAGTACTTGGGTGTAAAAGTACTGCTGACCAGAAGCAATCTCCGGAAGCAGGGTATACAGATGTGCTCGCAAATCTCTCGGTCCCTAATGTCTAGTACCTAAATTTGGGATCTCGGGCATCTGTGACCAACACAGGGCCACTGGTTTTGCCCGGTACTTATTAGTCGGTATGCCAGCTATCCCTCCTGGACCCTATTTTTTGATTGTACATTTATGCAATGCGGCCATTTAATGCCAATTCCCTTATGTCCATCACAGTTATGAGTAATGCAAGATTGTATATGTTTTTGTTCAAGTCTTTAATAAATGTAATGAAAATTGTGCAGCTGTTGTCTATTGTAAAGCTGGCAACAAGGAAAGGTCATGATGACCGTATGTGTGAAAAGAATCAAGTAACAAGGCATGTCAGGTCCTGCGGGGCAGTGATTACCTGACTGTTCAATTAAGGCAGATTAATTTGCCCTTATACCAAATTAATCTCATTTAATTGACGGAAGCACATTACAATGTTGTTAAAACTAATAGTGGAACGAATTGATTATAATCCAAAAGGCAAAAGACTCGTATTGGTACGAGTTGATTAATTGATGGCACTTCCTTTTCCCGCCATCCAGCAACAGGGTGAGGCAGGAGATCCACATCAAAATTATTACCCACCCACCCGTCCCCTTTTTTATATACATGTAATTTCATACTATTTGATTCGTACATTCCTTTATGCCATCTCATATATTCCCTAAAACTTTAAGAAAATTCTACCAAAATATCCAAACCTATCATCAATATGAAAGAGTTATCCGTCATTAGCCAATGCAATCATTGGCTAATGAAAATGTCACCAAATTGCAGTAATCTGCTGTCAGATCTTTTGCTTTTTTCAGATATTCAACAACAAACAGGTACCAGCAGGAAATCCAGCTCATAGGGATTGATGCGGAGAAAGGACAGCCAATCCAATATTGTGCACAAAAACTAGTCCGGAACAGTTATTCAAGACTTGTGATTAAACTAACTTATAGTGACAGTGGTTAACACGTCTATCTATAGTCTATTTACAATATTATAAGACTTTTTCAAAACACTTGTCGCATTGTATTTAAGGGGGGCGGGTCCGGAGGGATGAGTGGGAGGGTTGCGAACACATCTGGCTCGTTGTTTCCCTGCCCAGCCATCAGACAAGTTGGTGGGCACATTGTTGGGTAGACAGGTTGTCTACAAAGTATCCAACCTATGGCAATGTGTAATAAAAGTCAAGTAAAAAGTCAAGTAAAAAGTTTTCGATTGGGGTCGTAGCCAAGTCTGCAGGCCTGGGGCCCCCTCCACCTCTTGTAACAGGAGGGGAGGCTTAGTGCTGGAGTACTTGGGTGTAAAAGTACTGCTGACCAGAAGCAATCTCCGGAAGCAGGGTATACAGATGTGCTCGCAAATCTCTCGGTCCCTAATGTCTAGTACCTAAATTTGGGATCTCGGGCATCTGTGACCAACACAGGGCCACTGGTTTTGCCCGGTACTTATTAGTCGGTATGCCAGCTATCCCTCCTGGACCCTATTTTTTGATTGTACATTTATGCAATGCGGCCATTTAATGCCAATTCCCTTATGTCCATCACAGTTATGAGTAATGCAAGATTGTATATGTTTTTGTTCAAGTCTTTAATAAATGTAATGAAAATTGTGCAGCTGTTGTCTATTGTAAAGCTGGCAACAAGGAAAGGTCATGATGACCGTATGTGTGAAAAGAATCAAGTAACAAGGCATGTCAGGTCCTGCGGGGCAGTGATTACCTGACTGTTCAATTAATATTACTAAAACAGAATGTATTCTGCTTGGGAATATGAAAAACGCGTTTGACGAGCTTTGCGCATGCGGAATTAAAGTTACCAACAAAGCAACATGTCTAGGTATTTATTTAGGTCACGATAAAGAGGAATGCTACAATAAAAACTGGATGAGAATATATCATGAAATGGAAAAACTTTTTGAATCCTGGAAACGGAGAAAATTAACTCTTTTTGGTAAAGCTTGTATTATTCGGACGCTTGCTATTTCTAAACTAATATATACATCGTCAATTTTATGTCTTCCCGATAATAATTATATTTAAAAAAAAAAAAAAACAAAGATTAATTTTTAATTTTATTTGGGAAAAAACGGAGAGAATTAAACGGAACACACTGATCGGTGACACATCACGAGGTGGACTATCTATAGTCGATGTAGAATGTAAACTAAAATCATTGAAAGCAGCGTGGATTCCACGATTGTTTAATTCAAAAGGTCTCTTGTTCGATATGTTAAATGATTTTTGTAAAAAAAAAAAAAAAAAAAAAAAAAAAAAAAAAACTTAATGTGGATATCTATTTTCTTTTAAAATGTTCTACAATTGGCGTTGAGAGTTTAAAAAGCATACATGTTCCACTTTTTTATAAAGAAGTTCTAAGCTGTTTTAACGATTGTAAAAGTGAATTAAAAAGATCGTCTGATGATATTTTGCAACAGCCAATTTGGAATAATCGTAATGTGGTCTATAAAGGAAAACTCTTCTTCGATAATTGGATTAAATCTGGAATATTATGCATATGTGATTTGTTTGATGACAATGGATATTTTAGACCACTAAATCATTTTTCCAATATTATTGACAAATCTAATTGGTTATGCAAGTACAAAATTCTTATGTCGGCCACTAAGAGTATTCGTAAAGTTCATAAATTTTCAAATTCAAGTAATATAGATAAACAAAATGTAATGAATTTCAACTTCCCTACAGGATATTTTAACATTTCTGGAAAATCAAGTAACTTTTTCTACAAGAATCTTATTGAAAAAAAGTTTTGTAGACCATGTTTTCAAACAATATTATCTAAAGATTTTGGAATATATAAGGAGTCGAATTGGAGAAATATTTATGAATGTAAGTTTAAAGATATGAAAGATAAACACATAGCAGAATTCAGCTATAAATTATTGAATAATGTATTATGTAACAATACCTATGTAAGTAAGTGGAAAAAGTTGTATCATGTATGTGTGTACATTGTAACAAAATAGAAAATGTGAAACACCTAATTTTTGAATGTGATAATGTGTCTAAAATATGGAATATTATAAGCAGTTTTTTATCATTTAAAATTCAGTGGAAACATATTGTTGTTGTTTTTTTTCCATGAAAAAAAATGAAAAACTAAATCTCTAAATTTACTTATTACTTATGTAGCATATAGAATATATAAACATAAAATGTTACGTAGATTAGACTCTTTAAGCGAAACTGAATACTACATATACAATCATGTAAAAAAAAAAAAAAAATCAGTCTGCCACTATACTTCAGTATTACGCTATCTAAATGTAAACATTGAGCGTAAGATTTTTGAAAATCTTTCCAAAATAATGTAATACAAAATTAGTTATTCTTGTATACTGAGAAGAGACCTGTCTTCCAGTAATGCTGTCATAAGGGGGGAGTAAATAGACTGTGATACATATTGTGGCTCCCTCTATTGACAGCTACTTAAAGCTATGATTCATATCTTAACTCATGATGTACATGTATACTATATTAATATATTTTGAAAATACTTATATTCAGGGAATTTATATAATTCATAATATATACTATGTTAATATATTTTGAAAATACTTGTATTCAGGAATTTTTCTAATTTAATTTGAAACATCTAGCATGATGTCATAGGAGAAAATTATTATTGTTTAGAAGGAGCTAAGTCATGGCCCCATCCCTGGCAGTTGCCTTATTATTATTATTATTATTTTTTTTTTTTTTTTTTTTTAGATATTAGCGTTTACATGTTGTTATAGATTAGGATCTGGGAAATAAATTGGAAAAAAAACTAAATACTTTTCATGATTTCAAGTTTATTTAATATTTTTGACTTTGGCAGATTTTATTTCTGACTTCTCAAATTTAAAAGCCCTGGATAAGTGAACAATAAGTCTGACAAGTGTCCTACTTTCATTGTTATTCTTTGGTTGTTGTGATATAGTTATTTGATCATTGAATCGTGAATCATACATTGCAAAATTCAAAACGTCCAAAAGCCTTTTTATGCTACTTGTCGCACACCCGAACCATGGCTTGTACAATGATTAAGAGTAGTCTTTTACATCTAATAAGCTAATTATTTTACCTGAAAGGATACCTCTAAATACAGAGAAAACAAAGAAGTCATTAATTATATAATTTCCTTAAAGTTTACCGACCCTCTGATATGAGAGATAACTCTTTCTAACTTTATCAAATTGATAAGTTAAAATTCTGTCAAATTTTGTCCCGCAAGGTATTTCAAAATGAGTGCATATTAAATTTAATCTTCTTTCGAAATATAAGAAGTGTTAAAGCTAAATGTTTACAAGAGTGATTAGTGGGATTATGAACCTTCAAAGGTTTGGCTCTATATGTGTCATTTATTTTTTTTAAAAAGGATATCATTTATTTTTTTAAAAAGGATATTCTTTGAAATAATTTTACAGTTTCTGAACAGTGTGAAGATTTGCTGGCATTGTCTGTGTGTTATATAAGTAATAATGAGACTACGTTCATTTTCTTTTCGAACAATGGTCCCTAACGGGTGCAGAAGGTATAAAACAGAAAACTTTTTGTTTTGTTGTTCATTGTAACCTCTCCGACGTCAAACGTAAAAAAAATCGTACAATCAATTGATTGATTGTAATTCTATAAAATTTGCAGTTTGTCTTGGAAAATTACAATGTGACTTTGAAATAGATCATTGTCTATATTCCATTGAGCGAACTTGCAAATTCTGCAATATAAATGAACTAACGGATTCCATTTTCTATAGCTCTATAAATTTCCCCGGGATATAGCGTAGATCCTATCCCCTACAACTTTAACGAAACTGTGCCACATATAGATCTAATAGTTTGGTATTGTTCTTTACCAGATAAGAATTTTATTCACTTTAAATTTGTGTAAATTACAATACATGTAAATTGTCATATACATATTTAAATGGTTTAAAATTCTTATTTTGGTAGAGAACAACTATGTTCATTTCATATGTAATTTTCGAGACTAATTTTTCCCTTTATAATTCTTTCCCTCCTCATTTGTGGATTATTTTGAACATTTATTTGCCAATAGCATTCTTTGTTTACCTGTTTTTTCTTCACAAATTGAAAAGGAATATGTTACAGTAAACGTTTCAAATTTTGTTAACCTGGCGACAAGGCGTCAGTAGTGACTTGTCGTAAATGATGTAAAATAACGTATGTAAACAGAAGTGAGAAGTGCTATAAAACTGCTTCATGTTTAGGTGAATTCTCTAAGTAAATTAAATAGAAGCATCTTTAATACATATTTCATGATATTAAGTGACTAGTAGTTGTGATTGTCAGTATTTCTTCTTATAGTTAAAAAAGTGTAGGTTTTTTTCCCAAGTTGATATATGTGTTTTAATTAATCTACTCGTATTCTCTATCAAAATTATTTATTAACTTATTATTTTCAACTGGTATTTCTTTTATTTTATTACTGAACAGTGGTACTTTTTCGCAGGTACATTGTATGAAATTCCATTCATCTGCACCCGTGTTTCCGTCACTTATTGTCAACTCTGGCCATTGTAAATCTGGAGTTTCGCGTAACATGATTGATAAGTCATATTAAGTGATAATGATATATTTAAAGGTTTAGTAATATTTAAGTTGGTGTTAATTTCAAGAAAATCCTTTTATTTTGATAATTATCTTGTCTCTGTACACCTGCGTTGTCACGTGTAATAACGAGTGTCCAGTTCTTTCCTTACTTTGTGTTGCTGAACGTGACATTCTGGTTAAAGTGTTAGCATCATTGACAGAACTGGTAGCCTGTATTTGTATATACTTATATTGATTTTACAGAATCGTGTTTTTCTGATAGAATTTTTGTTGAGTATAGTATCTTTTGGCAGAGTTTAAATCACATCCTTAAGAAAAAAGTAGTGCATTGATTTGTTTTTCTTTTTGTACAATCGAAGATTTTTAAAAAAAAATAAGAATATCCTTTACCTTATTTCTTCATGTTCTTAAAAATAAGCTGTACTAAGCCCGAGTCAATGTATTTAATACATCACTATCTAATAGTATTTTTTTTTTAATTTCAAGGTTCTTGTTAGTCCCCTACCGGTGAAACCGGAGGGGACTATAGGTTTCCTCTGAGTCTGTCCGTCCATCCGTCTGTCTGTCTGTCTGTCCCTCTGTCAGTCTGTCCCACTTGGTTTTCCGCACTTTTTCCCTATACGCTTGCAGATATTCAGCTAATTTTTGGTATGTGAGTGTATCTTGATGAGTTACAGATCAAGTTTGCATTTCGTCACGCTTCATTGATTTTTGACGAAATTACGACCTCTTCAATTTTTAAGGGTTTTCCGCAATTTTCTTCTAAACGCTTGCAGATATTGAGCTGATTTTTGGTATGTGACATTACCTTGATGAGTTATAGATCAAGTTTGCATTTCGTTCCGCTTCATTGATTTTTGACGAAATTATGGCATTTTCAATTTTTATGGGAACCTGATTACACTTGCCGGTAGGGGACTAGTATTGCTAATGCAATACCCTCAGAATGCTTGTTCTAAATTTGCAATGCATGTATCTACAAGAGACAGAGAATTGAAATACGAGTGGCGTTCAATATATAATGCAAAAGGTCATAAAGAAGAAGAAAGAGAGGTAGAAAAGCTCAGTAAAGCAGTTTCTTTGTATTTTTACTCCTTCAAACTATTCCCTATTAACTTTTACACGTCTCAAGTTTCTGTACCCCCGACCGCAACACTTCAGCATACTCTTCTTAAGGGATACTCCAAAAGACGATGATGAATGGCACTCCCCAAGAATGATAAATAAAAATGTAGCGTCCTCCTTTGATGGTTTTCTAGAGTTTTTGGAATGAAAAGATGTCACAATGACTAGCGAATACTGGGGATGACTAAACTCTGTATACGCCCCTTTCTTTTAAAAATTCCTTTACACTTCTCTGCTTATTTGATTTCTTGTGCAGTAAATATATAGTTTTTTTTCTACACGTGGCACTGCAGCTCTCCAGTCTGTTAATTTTTTTTGTGGAGAGCTACAGTTCTGTAGCTAGGTTTAGGTACATCTATAACTGGATCTCTCAGTTAAAAAGATAACCTGTAAAAGACCTGTTTGAAGCACAAGTTTCTCTTTCCAAAAATAGGACGACTGCTTCCTTTCTGATTCCGTATTTTATTTTTGATCTTCCTTTTGGGTTATAAAAGTGACCCATGTTTGTCATCCATTGTCCAAGTTTATCATACCTTGTTTTGCTTAAATGTTTATATTTTAATAGATCCTTAGTATATTGAACGCGTATTTTCGTTTAGGCATTTATGAGGAAATGACGCACCCGTCGGACAGAAATATTTTTAGACTCATTTTCTTTGTTAGAACTCCATAAACTTTGTGATGATAAAATGTCTAGTGTCTTGGTAATGTTTTCCACTGTTGATCTGGCATTTTCAGATATAATTTTCCTCACAAAATGGATATTTTCGGTGTCTCTATAGATTTTGATTAACCAGCTCGACTGCGATCTTTTATCTCTCCTTTTCAGCTCCTGAATGTCTTAATCAATGCACCCTACTGCGTGAAATATATCAAAACCACATCTCCATATGGGTTCTCTTGCGACTTTTTTCGAAATTTTCAAATACGTCCTCATAACCATCTTGGCTGAGACCATTTTTCAACATTTTTTTTTCAGTTTAGTGAAGTGACCATGCTTACTTTAAACGCTAATTTCTTTGCGAGGAAAGAAGGGGAAAGCATGTAGTTTTCAATGATTAGTTCTTAATTTGTACTTTTTGACTGCGAAAAATAAAATGAAGTGCTTCTACATTTATTATGATAAACCGTATGTTGTATTTCTTACTGAACGACCCTCGTATGCAGAGTCTTTGATTGCAAGTATGTTTAAACCACAAAGTTTCCAAATACTTGGCGCCCAAATTAATTGCCAAAATTACCCTAGGCAAATATAAAATGTTAATGAAAGTCTTTTTACACAAAAAAAACCTAACTGTGTATATAGTCCTCTCAGATCATCACTTCTGCAGAGTCACTGGCCTTGATATAAAATTTGTACAAATGTCATTTCTGTCGTTATATTGTTTATAATTGAAAAGAAAATGTCATTGTTTCATCAGCTTTCAGCAATTTAAGATATTCCTTTTTGAATTTCGTACCTACTCGTGAGAAACTTTGTTATTTCTTCCGACATAACTTTCCATTTCAATCCGTTTTTTTCCGGTTCAGATCTATCAGGATGGTAGTGGGTAACTGCCTTTTGCAAAGCTTTCTTAATATTTTCCTCTGCGTCTTTCTCCAGCTTAAATGCTTCGTTTTTCGGTGGGTAAGTGACATAGACATATTTTAAAAATTGAATATTGGTCATTTTCAGGTGTTTCTCTTTGATCCCTTCCAGTTCGCCCTTAATTTCTTCCTTTACCTTTTCTTTTTCCTTATCTTTCTGTTCTTGTTCATGCATAACCGTTTCCTCTTGGTATTTTTTCAGCATTTCAGTGCATTCCTTGTACCACTCTAAAAATTAAAAAAAAAATTAAGTATAGACTTTATCAATACTGCTCGTAAGTTGCTGAGCATGTACTTAATTTGTTAAAAATAATGACACCCCCCCCCCCCGAAAAAAAAAACAATTATTTCAAGAGAAAGGTATTATAACATGCCAAAAAAGTTAGTACAGAACAATTCAACAGAAAAACACCATAATACTGTTACCACATGCAACGAACGTGCGAGGTGCCATCGACGCAGCCATCTGAATGGCCCTTTTATAATACTCCTTTGCCTGAGGTTTGAATTTCAAAACCTTTGCATATACGTTTCCAATCCTCGCTAGTGATATTGCCTCTTGTTCCATGTCCAGCTCTCTGGCGAGGAGAATCGACTGTTTGTACCAATCTATGATATCCCATACCATGTTCATGTCAATAGTCTCGTAGTAACGGGTAATTTTCTCCAGTAACTCGTCTCCTGTGCAGAAAACATTGGAACATTTTCTTTAAAAAGATATATAAGAACTTTCTCTTTAATCCTGTGTTGTAAATTCAAAAATGTTCAATCCAATCCACTCATAAAATTAATTTATCAAGAAACCTACAATTGTATTTTACATTTATCCAAGCACACTTGTCTTTCTGTTATCCTTGCAGTATATTCATATGACCATAAATGGAAGATTCTTGGAATTGTATAAGAGTGTGATAAGGGAGGGTGTTTGTCCGAGTCCACTGGAAACCTTCGACGATCGAGCAAAAATATTTTTTTAAAAAAAAAAAAAAGCTCCTCAATACCCTTGAAAAAATCTGAACGTACTTAAAAAGCTTTTTGTCAAGTTGTGGTATACGTTTGGTTTTGTCGTCGTGTCCTGGGTGAAGGGGGACCTTACGTCAATATTGTAACGGTACTGTTTTATAAAATACAGTCAGACTCAATAAAGATAAAAGTCTGCTCTGTCTCTCCCCCTTTGAGCCCTTAACAAATCCGCTATTTTCATTGACATAATAAACAAAAAGAACAGAAAAATGGCCCTATTGCCATTATTTTTTATTCCAAAATTACCTGTTTGTCTGGCTTTTGATGATTCTGCAATGCACATGTGCATATGTACATCATTTTCTAATACTTCTAACTCACTGAGAATATCTGGTTGTTCCTTCCCATGTTTTCTAGCCTCGTGCATAGGGAAGTGGCATTCAGCCATTTGATGTTTACATTTCATAAAATCTCCTTTTTGCCATGCATTGATCCCCTCGTGAAAATGATGCTGGGTAAGTTGAACATAAACATTAGCAATAACTTCGGGAACAGATATAAGTTGAACAATTGATGTAAGATACCTAATCCTGCACTCAAATGAAAATTCGGAAAGAAATTTCTCAACATCTCTGAAGCATTCAACATATTTGGAGGCAATATCAGTAACCCAATTTGAGTCTTTGCATATGTTGCCTTTTATATAAGCATACTGATAATTTTTCAGAGCCTCTTTAAAGTTGTGGACGATAAGTTCTATTCTCCCCTGTTTTGCAATTTGCAATTTTCCTATCCGCCATTCACAAAGAGCCAGATTTTTGGCTGCAGAACATTTGTCGTCGTCAGTTCCATCAGCATCATAAGCCCTTAAAACATATAAATGTGGACTAAATATTATTTTTTGCTATTTCTTTTAACTCTTGTGTATTTGTTTTTTTTAAGATAATATTATACGGTTTTTATAGTTAGTGCTGTTTGCATATCAGGAAAAACTGTTTGCGCTACATACCTCTGATACAAGTTCCTTGCCCTCTGAAGCCTATCAATCTGAATGACTTGGCCAATTCCATGCGCACATGCCGACTGGTATACCTTATTGCCCTCCTCGCGAAGAAGAGTCGATGGTGAACCAGACATAGTAGAAACACCCGTCTAAGCCCACAAAATTCTATTTATATATATATATATATATATATATATATATATATATATATATATATATATATATATATATATATATATATATATATATGAATTCATTGTCGTTGGGTTTTTATATTAAACCTAGAAATTTGTCAAAATTTGAAAAAACAAAATTATGGCATAATTTAAAGACTTTCATTCTTTCCTAAAAAGAATAATGCAAATAAAGGCTTAACTCTTCAAATGTTTATACATGTGTATGTCGTTCTTTTTAATTCATCAAAATGGTAATATTTGAAACGCTGTCTAAAAAATACGTCAAGAATTATTATAAGATTAAACGTTCTTTTTGAAAATTTTATTGATGTGTGAACTCTTGACATTTTACTGCGGAGCACTTTTATGTTAAGTTTGTGAGTAAAATGTCAAGAGTTTACACGTAGATAAAATTTTCAAAAAGAACGTTTAATTCTTATAATTCCAATTACGAAGTTTTAAAATTATTTATCTTTGAAGGGACAGAATATAGGATGTAGAAATATGAATTTGATGCTGATAAGGCAAGAGTCTGAGGTACGTTTCTCTTTCCTATCGGCTACCGAGAACTGGGCTGATTTGCTTAGCATCACGATACTATCTATGAGAGATTTAAATAAAAAATCACACTCGTGATCTGACAGTGACAAAACATAACATTCCCGTCTGTCAGTCCCGTATGTCGTCAGTATTGTTTTTATTTAATTTAAAGTTTCTGTAATCGTTTAAGCAAAAACAGACTAGAAGTAACGATTTACTTCATTTTTTTTTTTTACAATAAAAGCTAGGCCGAAAAAGTAGTTCTGTTTGAGAGATTTATCGATGTGTAAACTTTTTCTTGCATTTGTTCTCGTCCAATCAAAACACAGGAAATCAATAATGTCTTTTTTTAATTAAGTAAACAATTATTCTTTTAAAAAATGTACCATAAAAATATAATTCCAATCTTAATTTTATTTATTGGTTTCCTGTGTGAGTCCATTCGTGGCCGTGAGACCCCTGACAAACTTTACGAACTGACTGCAGCTATGTCTTTTGGAGGAAATTACAAATCCTGATTGTTTTTTCTTATTTCTCGAACAATCACATGAAGCCTTTTGCTGACAAACAACCAGTTACACCTGCAGTGTCAGCTGCTTAATTACTGATCTAGATCTCTGTTTACTTCTTACGTCATCTTATGAAAGGCCCAATGTGATTGGTGCTTCTCAATAAGAGAACCTGGCCCGAAAAAAAAATCAATGGAGTTTGTCAAGGATTCCACGGCTAAGAGTGGACAGCAGACCCCTTGTCGTTGTGAGGATTACCGAAAATATTGGTCAAGCTACGCCTCTCGATCTAACCGGAAATACTGGATCCGCCCCTTCTCTATCGATTTAAATGCAACAGTTAAGACGATTATAATTATATCCTTGTCAGAATACTTGTGACTTGTGTAAAGCGTTGCAATCAAATTATCAATGGTGGACGATCATCAGGAAAACGTGTCCTGTTACTTTCTAGCAAAAGCATAATGATTTCACAACCAAATTGATATACATGTATTGTTCCGTTTTGCAATCTATAAACCCTCTGGACTATACGTCACGAAATCAAAACTTACTTTCACTCTAGGCAAGAAATTACTCTACCCTAAATAACATTTATACTAGAATACAGAAACATTAACATTAAATGAGGTTACCATATTCTATTGCAGCTTAAATGTTATGACAATTTACCAAGTAACTCACCTCTGTGGTTCACCCAGCTGTTTTTATCAATACTTCCATTAACCTTTCATGTATACATGTATACTTCGTGGAACTGTAAATGAAACTAGGACTGTGTTCTGTGAAGTGGCGGATCTTTGGGTGCGTGTTGGACTGAAATTGAACTAATCAACTATATGAGTTAAGATCATATTAAATTAGATGATATAAGATTTTTTTTTTATTTCAAAACACATTTATCCTTTTGTCTGAATTTCTTCTCCGCTGTTACTAAATATCCTATTCCTTAATAGCTTGACTCTCTTTTGTTTACCTAACGCTGTATATATGAAAGTAAGCAGCTATTTTGATGCATTTTGACACAGAATTAAAAAATAAATGCGTCCAATCAACAAAACTTACAATGCACACACTATCTAAAGAGGTTGTCTGATTTTTGAGATAAATATTGTTTAACTTTTAATTTAAAAAAAGCAAAAAATGTAATTTTTTTTTCTTGTTCAAAGGTAAAAAAATTGAACTGTGAAACCTATTGTATTAGTACAATTTTTTTCAAGCTGTTTCTTATATAACATATTCTGAGCTACTTCAATCTTTATTCTATCATTTTGTTCATTCGCTGTCCTCCTAACAGCTGAAAAGTTTCAAACAACAAAATTGGACAAATTGGAAGAACGCTAATGATTACATCTGTTTGGAGTAGGCAGGTATGTCATAGACACAATTTATTTGACACTACATGCTCCCACGAAAAAAAAAGAGATAACAGATGATGTAATATTAGATAGGGGGCTAGACGTGAGGTTTCATTTTGAATAAATTGTACAAACTAAAATTTATTTAGAACTGCACATCTTTGATTTTTCCCTGTCCCCTCTATAAATCAGCTTTGATGAGCGATGGTATAATAACTTGATGCTGATGGTTACGATCAATTGGATTCAGACAGAAAGAAGAGGCTTTATGCATTAAATACTATATGCAAGCGAAAGAGCAAGAGCCACGAACCATCAAAAATGGCCCTGTCTCAAAAAGTAACGGGGTTTTGTCAATTGATAGTGTAGACTTTTAGCTTTTCTTTGCCGTTTTTCTTTTTTCGATATCGATTATATTTTTTGAAAAAGAGAGTTTGAAGTATGACGGTGTTTTAAAAGAAAAATGCTAGTAGAACGTCATTTTTTGAAACGTAACGTCGTAGGGCGGAAAAATTACCTTGAGCGATTTTACATATGTGACTTTGAATTAAAACTAGTATTAATTGGGATAGATATTTATTATCTTACTAATAAACTTCATAATTAATTTAAGACAATTAAGGACAGTTGGAAATTGATTTCACATCGCAGTCTTGATGGCAACTGCGTGTTTAACTGATTGAAATTTATAGATACATGTACAGTAAAAATAATCTGTGTTACTGTCTCGGAAAGTTTTCACTCTACCTGGTCCCTATGCTAATATAATTTTTAAGAAGGAACATTGTATTTCTATCCCTTGAACACATTTTTGTGCGATGCATCTCTCCTAATTACATGTAAGTATTGAGTATTGAACATCATTAAAAAAAACATACGACTTGCTTCAAATGACTATAGCCTGTCCAACTTTTTTTCCGGACTTTTTCCTACACGCCTGCAAATATTAGCTGATCTTTGGAATGCGCGTCCAGGCACGAAGTTTGTTTTTCAAAGTGGGGAAGAGGGCAGTCCGAAAAAAAAAAACGAGATACCTGAAATGATCTTAAAACGAATGTTTCTAAACTGAAGAACTACAATGTAATTCAATAAATGGATAGAAGTAATTGCAAAAAAATTTGTTTAAATGGAAATAGACTTTTAATGCGAAATTCTTAGATCCTTAACTTGCGAGTATTTTAACATATAAAAGTTCTAAATGATTTGGAAAAAGGGAGGAAGTAAAAAGTTGGAAAGACTTGTTTCTAATCCCTTTATATTCATTTGTAGCAATATTTTGAACGTCGTTTTCGAAACAGAGACATAGATTAATTGAAAAGGGGTGTCGCAACTTATCAGAATGGTTTATTAAGCAAACAAAACTCATCAAAACATTGTCGCCCTAAATGTGAGTTTCTTTGGAATAATATGGAATACATTTCCAAAAAAATATTCTTAAAAAAAAGATAAACCTGTTAAAAATCACTAATTTAAGGCTAAAGCAGAAAATAAATCAGCCCTGTTCATTATTTTATATTTATCGATATTTGCTAGAACCCCCCCCCCCTTCTCTTGCAAAATATTCGAATATTTCTCTCCCAAATATCTTATGCCCTGTTCACACGGAGAGTTTAATTCGAATTAAACGTAAGTTACTGCGAATTAAATTTGATCCGCGTTCACACGGAGAATTTAATGCGAATTAGTTTAATTCGAATTAGTTTACTGCGCATTAAATTACTTCGCATTAGCTCCGTGTGAACGCTAAGCGAAGCTAATTCGAATTAAATTTTGACGCATGCGTAAGGGCAGAATTAAGTCACAGGCCACATGTCAATGGTCAAATATAGGTACTTGTGCCAATTTTGAGTGGAAAACAAAGGAAAATAGTGTTAATCACTAAAATGTGTACAGACACTATGACATTACCTCAAATGTATACATATGTATCTGCACAATATGACGTGATTTGTAAATGACGTCATAATAGCCTCACTGAATAGACTTGTTGTAGAAATTAAATTATAATTCGCATTAGTTTACTTCGCATTAGCTGTCGTGTGAACGCATTTTAATTCGCATTAGTTTAATTCGCATCATTTTACTTCGCATTAATTTACTGCGAATTAAACTCTCCGTGTGAACAGGGCATTAATTGCAAGGAATTTGTAAAGATAGAAATCTGCGAAAATTATATGATTATTTTTCATGTAAATGTACATAATAATTATTCGTTTTTAGCATACGTAACTATAGTGTAAAATTCCTACTTTCGATTTCATTGCACATAATGGTTTTTATGGTTTATAAAAAGAGTAGAGCTGCATTTATATTGCTGATATGTGCAGGCCCGTAGGAAGCAAATTCATTTGGGGGGGGGGGGGGGGGGCTCAGCCATACATTTTCAGTTGACAGTTGAGGAGGCACTACCAAAAATTTCCTGACAAGCAAAAAAAAAAAAAGGTCATCAGACGTTTTTATTGAGGGGCACAAGCATATAGTATCTATGTTTATGATAGTAATCTATATATCGGCAAAATTATCACCCCCCTTCCGGTTCCTACGGCCATGATGTGGGTCACAGTCATAAGTGAAAGACATGT